CCCAGAGCGCGCCCCCTCCCCGCACCGAACGCACCCCCTCCCCGTGCAGAGCGCGCGCTCTCCCCGACGTTGAGTCCCCTCCGCTAGCGCCACGCTACCTGCGGAAATGCTAAAACTTACAGCCTTAGAACTTCGCCATTTCAAAACTTATCTCCTTTTCTCTCCGGTGTGACACCTTTGAAACGTGTGGGTTTGTGGCTTTTTTGAGACTGTTCACGTCCTGTCTCCGGGGCCTGACATGCAGTTGTCAGTGAGTCCTCTGCAACCTCCCCGAGCCCTGGCCGTGCGCCTGGGGGGTCAGAGCGCAGGCCCCGCACCCGAAGGGTCCACCGGGGGCTTGATCCAGGCCGAGGGCATGTCCTGAGCTCCTGCGGGAGGCGACCAGCTCTGGGACCCAGCACCCGGGTGTTTAACAGGGAGGGTCCGAGTCCTGGGGGCATTTCCAACCTCAGCGACCTTCTCAGTCCAGTTCCTAATTGAAAACGCTACTTAGACGCGCACTGCAGACTTTCAAAATTTTTGGTTCCCATCAGTGACTAGAGCTTCCTTCCTTCAACTGGTGGTGGAAGGTTCTGTGGTTTGGGCAACAAAGGTGCTGTCTGTGGGGCTTCAAAAGGAATTGCTAAAGCGACCCCCACCCCTCCCATCGTGACCCCCAATACTGACAGGAAAACCCACAGCAGAGGCCTGGCCTGCTTGCAGGAGGGCAGTTTTGCAGCACCCAGCATGGGACTCTTGGTAGAATATAATGTGGCCTCCGGTGCCACTTTCCTGACCCCCCCTTCAGGGCCCCAGGGCCTAAATGGGAGGGGAGGGTGCGGCTTGTGGGGCAGCAGGCTCCTGCTGATTCCTGAGTTTGCTGCAGGTAGGAGCCCTGGGGGCAGAGCTCGGCTGGGCCTCAGCACAGTTCCGCTGCAGGTATGGACAGGCCCTTGTGCTAGCGAGAGGGCGAAGTTATCGGGCTCACCTGTCAAGAATACGCCCCCAGAAAGAGGACACCCCAGTGGTCTCTTGTTTCACTCTGAATTATGGGGCCCTTTGTCCGGGACTCCCTTGCCACCCATCACTCCTCTCCTTTTTAATGCCTCCTGCCTCACCCACCACTTCCCTTCAAAAAACCGAAAACAGAAACAGGAATGGTTTTCTCTTGGAGCTCTTGGGGTTTGACTAACAGGACTGTGTGTTGACAGACAACACTGAGAAGACTCATGGCCTTACCGATTCCCAGTCTGTCCGGAGCTTACAGCCAGAAACCTAGGACTACCCTTCTCCTGCCAAACCTGGGGACACCTGGAGAGGGAGGGGGGCTGCCTCAGTCTTTCATGGAAGGAGCGGGGGCTGGAGGGAAGGGAGGCGGGTGAGTGGACGGGTGGGTGAGCTGGGCTGATATGGCGGTTGTGGTCAGTGAGAGCGGGTAATGGGGACTCCGGTCCCTTACAGATGATGCGGATGTACTTTAGGACATGACCTATAGGGCCCAGGCCGTGGGATCTGAGAGGAACAGTGCCCCCTCCAACTGTCATTCCTGGAATGCGGTCGGTCAGTCTGGTTAGTGAATCACGCAATGGCCCATGTTTCTTTTGATCCCACAGAGCAGCAAAGAGTGATGCTTCTCAGCAGGTCCCCCTCGGGGCCCAAGAAGTACTTTCCCATCCCCGTGGGGCACTTGGAGGAGGAGATCCGCGTCCGGTCAGCGGATGACTGCAAGAGGTTCCGCGAGGAGTTCAACGTGAGTGGGGCGGCCCCTCTGTGTCCTGGTCATGTGGTCGGGAATGGGAAGCACAGGGTTCTATTTAAGGTTAATATCCATCCCAAAGGCTCAAAACTCCTGCGTCCATTATGACACTGTCCCCCAGAAATGGGGGTCGTTCGTGGGAGGCCGGGTTCCCACTGCAGTGCCTGCCCCTTACTGCACTCAGTCCTCATTTATGGGATGCGACGTGACATGGAGTGAGATGCTCGTGAGTCTTCTAGCTCTCAGGGCCATGCTGGGAAACCAGGGGTGGCAGACAGACCGTTGTCTCGGTGACGTGGAAGACCAGGCCGGAGAGACCACAGTATGAGTCTTTCTTATTGACAGCCGTGGATATTAACCAATGTCCCCCCAACAGATGTAATTAAAAAAAAAAAAAAAGCCACAGAGCTTCCGAGAACTTGAGCATCTAACTGTGGTGGGAACTGTGCCTTCTCTTGCCCCCCGTCACAGGGCCAATTAAACCCTGTGGGGACCCCCTTGAGGGACAGCTCTGCCCTCGGTAGCTCTTGGGTGTCTGTCTGAGTCAGTGTGACCTGAGTCCCTGCTTGTTTTCTCCTGCTACTGCTTCTTGGATGAATTACCTCCGTGAGCTTAGCAATGACAACAGCTAAGATGGGTGTAACCAGCTGGTGCGGGCCCCACAGTAGCAAACTGATTCTACTCTCTCCACCAGAAACACAAATACATTAAGGACACCTCTTCTTGCATTAAATTTTTTATGTAATATTCTATGAATTGTGAACCAGATAGACAGATGGATAGATGGATAGGCAGATGGATGGATGGATGGATAGATGTAGAGATGGTCAGGGAGACAGACAGATGCTGGAAAGTGTTGTCTTGGGTTTTTCTCGTCAGTGTCTATCCCTTGAGTTTTGTGTTCTGTGGCTTCCACATTTTGTACACAGCCTCAGGCTGCGTGTTGAGAGTGAGATTGGATGGGTTCCCAGCAGGGGGACTGACTCACCCAGGCTCTGCCTGTTGGGCCCTGGCCCTGGCGCATCGGTCAGTGTCCGGGAAGCCAGCCTCCGTCACGGAGGGTTGTGCAGTTGTTGCATCGAAAGCCAGTGTGCACCCGACTGCAGATCCGTGACTCTCCACACGGGAGCCACAGGAGGGCAAGGAAGGCGAGGGCGCATTTCGATGCACTTTGCTTATTTTTTAGCACAAGCCTCGTCTGCATTTATCTTGCTTCCTTTTAATTGTTTCCATATGTGTCCCCATTTTGGAGAAATTAGGTCATATTGAAAGACAGCCCTAAGCATTATTGTTTTACAATCCTGGAGACTGATAAGAGAAGTTAGTTCTGCATTTTCAAAATAACTCTCCAAGTTCCTAGTGACAAGACTCCTCCCCTCCTTGTCGCATTTCCCCTGGCTCCGTGTTTCCCCCTGTCAAGACTGGAGGAGGGCGCTGAGTCACCGCCGCAGGCTCTGCCCCATCCCGGGACGTGCAGCTCTGGAGGAGCAGGGCTGGGCATGGAGTCAGGCAGGTGAGCCCCTTGCCCCGGGCACAGAATTCAGGGAGGCACCAAAGCACTCAGTCGTCAGGATAAGAAACATTTTAATGAGACATTTACAAATATCAAAATGCATGCCAGCAGTCCATGCAGAACGAAACAGCACACTTGTAAGTCACGACAGGATTGCTCTGACGGATGTTTCCTGTGGCTCCAGGCTCCAGTGTGGCCTGTCACCGCACCTCGCTGACCACGTCCTTACTTACAAGTTTAATATTTGGGTTATTATGGATTTTTCGCATTTATTTCGATTTTTTAAAATGTGGCATTTGCATATTATTTTATTTTGAATCCCTAGGTTTGGGGGTACCCCTTTCAATTTTGTACTCTCCTGGCCCCTGCCCCTGCCATTGGGTAGCTTCCCAATGGAGCCCTTCTGCTCAGCGACGGGCAGGTAGAGATATGGCAGAGGGGGAGAGTGCTGGACTTGAGTCCAGCGATGTGGGACCTGGACCTGGCTCCAGGGAACCCTGAACAGGCTGTTTGTTACTCTGTGGACCCCAGTTTGCTCTCCTCTCAAGTGAGGGACAGCCGTGTCCTAAGCCACATCTGTGCCTGATCCCTCTGCTAAGAGCAGCGGAGCCGCCAGCACCAGCCCCCTTTGGCCCGCAGATGGATAAGCTTGGGGTGGGCTCTCACCCCTCGCCCCGCTCTTTTCTCCTCCGCTGCCCTGAGCGTCTCTCCCAAAAGCTGGGAAGGGGAGGCGGCTGAGCCTGAGAGTAGTGGATCCCGGTGCGTCTGGACGTTTGTGTGCCGCTGATGGAGCTGAGCTGAACTGCGTGAGGACAGTGAGGGTGGGCGCCGTGGCCCAGTTCAGTGGGCGGGCGGAGGCGGGG